CTGACTATGCCGCCGGTTACCTGCACAGAGCAGGAGCTGAGAACCTCAGGCTGCTTCTTACACACTCTGGGATGCATGGCGTTTTTGCTGTCCATTTACAATGAGCACATGTTCATTTGTAACTGACAGCAAACATAAGTCTGGGGAAGAGATGATAGTAAAATAAAGTCAGAGACAGTAGTTTACAGTCTAAAAGAAATCATTAATTAAAAAAGCAATAACATGCTTGCCTAGCATATGCAGTACAAAACTCTGGGTTCAATCCTAGCATAGAGGGAAAAAAAAAGAAAAAATAGCATCAGCAATAAATATTACCTGAAGCAGTATTTGCTGAGTGTCATATTAAAACCATTTACAACAGTTACTTGTATTTTTCTTTGTAGTCACACACACAAAATACATACACACATACATATATATACACACACATATACACATACACACATGGAAGGTCATCTGGGTTTTACTGAAAACTGTAACAAGACTCCACAGAGCCTACAGTGAGACACATTTGACAAGTTTCACCAACTCACCAGACAGAGAATGGCTGGTGGCCAATTATTGTCACCTGTGAATTCTGACCTCTCAGTGCTGCCAGAGACCATGTTCACATTCTCAGGCAGGAATCAACAGCACAGCTTCTTCTGTCTTTGCCCTTGAGGGATCCATGATTCAAAAATAACTTTCATAGAACACAGTTATATCAGGACTAGAATTGAAGCTAATGCTGGAGGGGCCCTAAGTTGATGGCAACCCCTGTGCTTACACCCACAGAAAACCAAGTACACAAAATAAGCCTTGAAAATAAGAGTGCTTAATGATATTTAAACAAAAATACTGTGGTAAGAGGGAGTTAATGAACCAATGTGAAAGAATCCCCCCCCCCCCCCCAGGATCCAAGTGACACACACGGCTGAGCACAGGCCTCCTAAGCCACGGCTTCACAAGGGCAACAAAGGACCTCTGCATACCCTCAGCCATGCCTGATATCTCACAGGAAAGGGAGGCAGACAACAGACAGACAGTGCCTAGGTGCTGGTGCTCTGCTTCACAGCTTTCCTCAACACAACTGTACAAGCTCTGCCATCCAACATGAACTGTGGGTGGTGCATGGCTGTAATCCCAGCACTTGGGAGGCTGGGGCAGGAGGATCTGTCTCAAAAATCAAAAACCAAAAACAAACAAAAAACAAAAAGACCTATAAACTGTGGCAGCAACACTGTGTTGGAGAGGTCAAGGCCAACTATTTACCTGGCACCACTTTCCTGCAGCCACAACCTCAGTGCCCTTTGTCCTTGGAGCCCCCCTTCCTGTTCATCCAGTCAGTGTGTTGCTCTCTTGCTTGCCCTGACTCTCTGCTAGCTGCATATACATCAGCGCCTGGCAAGTGCTGGCCATTTCCACTGGATCTGGGCTGGCTGCTCCCTCCTCCCTTGTATGCATCCAAAGCTTATGAGTAAGGAGCCTTAGAGGGGTGTGAGGTGAACTTTGAGTGTCATGCTGTGCTCCGCAGAAAGACACTTCATAAGTTCCAATGGATAACACCTCTTCAATGAAGAACTAAGTATTCAGAAGAGGGTTTAACATCTGCTGCATCATCACTGGCTTTGGCAGTATCATGATGTTGAACGAATGTGCAGCTGCATGAATTGTACAATTTCTTACCTATTTTGTCTGAACTTTCAACTATAAAATGAGGTGAATTTAAACAAGAGGACACTAATAAAGGTCTATTTCATGCATGTTTACAAAAAAAGAAGATTAACACAAAATCTCGGTCACCTACACTGGTTTTTTACTATGTCAATTGCTCTAACTTTAGAAAGCCCACTCCAAATAAAAGAATTGGAAGTGCTGTTTCTCAAAGACACATGGAGGAAGATAAGGCTATTTTACTGAACCACTTAGAATGGTGGTTGAAGGGCTGGAGATGTAACTCAATGGCAGAGCACCTGCCTAATCCTGGGTTCAATTCCCAGTAACAGAAAATAGAAATGGTGGTTACACATGGTTTTATTTTCTTTCTCAATTCTAGGTTCAAAGTTAAGTAGCTTTTCCTCCTGGGAAGGAAGCAAGCACTGGACACCCACTGCAGTCTTGGTTGGGTGGCCCTCCACAGATCCTGATATGCACTGTGATAGGAGGACAAAGGAGAAAAGCAGAGTGGATTAAAGATATAAATATTAAGACAGAAACACTAAACTTGTTGGAAGATAAGTTAGGCAGAACTCTGGAAGACACTGGCATAGGAAAAGACTTCATGAACAAAACCTCAGCAGCACGGGAACTAGCAGAAAGAATCAGCAACTGGGATCTCATCTTATTAAAAACTTTCTGCACTGCAAAAGAAACCACCAACAGAGCTAACAGACAACCTACAATATGGGAAAAATTTTTTAGCAGCTGTACCTCAGACAAAGGACTACTATCTAAATATATAAAGAACTGAAAAAAATCAGACACCCCAAATTCAAAGACCCAATTCAAAAATGGGCATCTGAAACGAACAGACATTTCTCAAAGAACTAAAGCAGCAAACAAATATATGAAAAAATGTTCAACATCACTCATCATTCGAGAGATGCAGATGAAAACAACACTGAGATTCCACCTCACCCCAGAAAGAATGGCTGCTATCAAGAAATCAACCAATAACAAATGTTGGTGGGGTTGTGGGGAGAAAGGAACCCTTCTTCGTTGTTGGTGGGAGTGCAGACTGGTGCAACCACTGTGGAAGTCAGTATGGAGATACCTCAAAGAACAAGGACTAGAGGTCCCATATGACCCAGCTATTCCCCTGCTGGGTATCTTCCCAAAAGAATTAAAAGAATCTTACCACAGTGATACATGTGCACCCATGTTCACAGAGGCAAAGTTTGTAATAGCTAAAGCTTGGAAGCAGCCCAAATGCCCACCAACTGGAAACTGGATAAAGAAAATGTGGTTTTTTAATAAAATGGAGTACTACTCAGCCATAAAGAACGAGAAACTAGAGTCATTTATAGCTAAATGGATGCATATCGAGGCCATACTCTTAAGTGAAATAAATAGGACACACGTGTAAATACCAAATAGTTCCACTAGTGTGAGAAACTGAAAGTGTAAACAAGGGTTAAAATTATTAAAATGAATAAATGATAATTTGAAATAGGAAAAAAGGTCCAAAGAGGTAGGGGTGAAGGGAGGGGAAGGGGAAAAGAAAGAAGGGAAAGGAAAAATTATGAGAAAAGAAAAAGAATGGAAATGAAGTCTGTGTAAATAGGGAAGGGTGGAGGGGGTGAAGGACGCATAGGTAAAGGGGAAGAAATAAGAACCAAGATACATCATGTACAGGTACAAACACCCAATGATAAATGTAAATGAATTGTATATCTAAAATGTACCAATAAAATGTACCAATAAAATTAATTTAAAAAAAAAACGAAAGAAAGAAAAGGTCTCAACTTTTGAGGCAATTGGAGACAGGAGAGAGCTGCCGGATCCTCCCTCCACGTGCCCCATGAGGGCAGTGTGACTGCTGTGTAATATCTCCTGTCTTACTGAAGACATGTGGACCTTTCTCATCGGGCAGAGAGGTGCCTCTTGGCATGCTATTTGTACAGAAGTTTGAAGGGGTTAAGAGAGTGCGTATTCAGAGAAGGGGGATACGGGCTGGAGCCATTAACACATCTGGACTGGGTTTTTTGATTCTATGTGTACATAGGCAAAAAAATCAGTTCTCATACATTTAAACATGTTCAGGATGATAGGAAAAAATACACAAGTAAAGAAATAGCAGCAAAATTATCTTTCAATTACAGCTTTATAAAAACTTGTTTCCCCACCCTAAACTACGACTTTAGGAATCTTCACACTTTATAGTGGCTACCTGGAATAACAGGAGATACCTGACATTTTTATCTATACTTTAAATCAACTTTAAACTTAAGTAATGTGCTGTCAAAATGTAAGGCAACTTAATAATACAACAATCACCTAGAAAATTCAAAACTGTATAACATTAATTACCCTATTACAACAGTATTACCAACCTCAAACAAATTTTATAATATGAATATTAAATACAACTCAGAAAGGCAAAAAAATGCCAAAATATACTCAATAAATATTATGTGCTATCTGCAGTGTAACTGAAATGTAACATTAATTTCTGCTTCAAATACTGCAAAAACTAGTCTCTGGTCTAAAGCTGCTAAACTTTTCAGAAAAACAGATGGCCCAACACACTCACAGTTGCTAAGCATGCAAATGTCAAATAAAAACATTCAGTAAAATCCATGACTAGACCCACAACGCTCCAGAGGATGAGGACTCAAGACTGTCCTAAGCCTCCACTTTCCCAGCTACCACTGAGCATAGATTGCCAGTAACCATACCACCACTGTGCACCCTGCTTGTTGTTTGTGCAGTCTTAAGATTTTTATCTAGTCACATGGCCATGCACTAGACAGACCACTATGCCAGCCTGCTTGAGGTCAGTGCTCCAGTCAGTGCAGCGAAGACAGACTTGATGTGTGTAATTTGTGCATCATGTTATCTCATCTGTGCCCCCAGCTGGTATGTAGATGCGGTGGGTGACACATCCCCTACGATTTTGCAGATGACAGTGGCAGAAAAACATGACAGGACGTCACTTAGCCCCTGATGATGTTACCAAGCAATGTCACTACACTGACTCACACTTTCAGGTCTTTTATCTTGTGTAAGCCACTATTACTATGTCCTTGACAGATGCTGACAAAACTGTGTATTTTAATTTCCTCAGGTTCCTCGGCTATACTGTGAGGCTAAACATAATTCTTAGCTCCCAGATTACTGTAAGGATTATGTATCTTAAATAATAAGAAAGCATCTATGAGCACCAGTCAATCCACCAGGCTCATTCTGAATAACTCACTTCATACACCACACATTCTGACGGGCAACTCTAAAACTGCAAGTTATGGAAAAGAGGTAGGCCATAAACGTCAGGCTGACGCGTTCTGCTGGCTGTGACTTACAGGCCATGAGTGACAGTGCACTGGCTGTTCTCTCTCTCAAGCTCCTGACTCAAGGAGTCACATCTTTTCCAGCCATCTTCAGTTTTAATCCAACTCCACCCCGGAGATCTCCAGTCCTGACCCAGAAATGGCATGGTTCTCCTACAAAAAAGGTAATTTACATTAAAATATATATATGTAAAATTAACAAAAGTTTCCTTTCATTAAGAGCATTTGTTCATTCATTCAAAAGAGTTTCCTACTTAACACTGTGATACCTGCTCATCATTAATGCTGGCTAGCAATGGGTGGTGAGACAGTGCCGATGACACAGTGCTTTGGACATGCCAAAGTGTTAAAATGGAGTGAGTACTCAACTTTGCATATGTCAGGACAGCTTACCAGAGTTGACATCTAAACTTCTGCCTAAAAAGCAAGCAAGAGTTACAGAATCATTCTGAAGAGTGCACTTGCTAGGTCCTAGGCAACATATCTGGAAATGCACTTACATTTGCCCAAACTAGGTAAGCCACCTGGGATGGGGCTTATCAGGAGGAAGTGGCCATGGCCAGATAAGGCAGAGGAATTAGGCTTTATTCTGAGATCAATGAGGGGGTCCAGAGACTTGCAGGTTAAGTGATTTGATCAGCCTTGAGCTTTACAAGGAACTGAGGTTTGCACCAAGGAGAACAGAGAGCTGGAGACCTACAGAGGGAGGGAGTGGCTAAAGCAACACTGGGAGGCAGAGCAGACAGCACTCTGGGATGGGCTGGCTTTGTGGGGAAGAAGTTACAGAGGACATCCAGATTCTTACTGCAAAAGTTTATAGTAGGCTTGTGAAAGGGGAGACGGGTAGGAGATGTTGATTTCCATTTTGGGCATGCTATTAAGTTTGATAAACTAAAATCCAGTTATGAAAATTATGACATAAAAATGATGCTACAAAGTGGGTGTGGTGACATGTGCCTGTAATCCCAGCTACTTGGGAGGCTGAAGCAGGAAGGTCTCGAGTTCAAGGCCAGCCTGGAAAACTTAGGGATACTCTGTCAAAAATAAAATAAGAAGGGGCTGGGGATGTAGCTCAGTAGTACAGTGCTTGCCTTGCATGCATGAGGCACTGGGTACAATCTGCTGTGACACAAAAAAGAAAAACAAAAAAAAGATGCAATAGATATTATACCCTCATGAAGTTTACTTACAATTTGATAAGGCTGAGACCTCAGATACTAGCTCTTCCCACTGACTGGAATTCCCGTCCTCTTGGTCAGTGATTTTCAACTGCTAATATACATTGACATCACAGTCTGGAAAGCTTTAAACATACAAGTGCATAGCCCCATCTCAGACCAATTAAAAATCAGTTTTGGGGAGGGCTAACACTGCAGATTCAAATGTCCCCTCCCCACAAAGCCTTCCCTGACCACCCTGTGCAAATGCTCCCTTCTGCTGTCTGGATCTCCAACCCATCAGTCTCTGTAGTTATATAGTGTCTGCATCATAACAAGGGCTATCTGGAATCATTTGTTTTTACCCTCTGTTCTCCTCCAAGAAAATAAAACAACCTGTCCAGCTCTGTATCCCAGTTACCTTGAACAAAGCCAGGTACCCATCTATTTACTGAATGAATGAATGCTTGCACAGATCCCATGGCTCAGAAAACAGAGGCTAGAAAGTAATATAGGAAAAACATCAGAATTAAGAGCAATCAAGAAATCAAAATAATCTCAGAGTATGCAGAAGGACAAAGAAAGACCCTAAGGAACACCAACAGGTCAGGGCCAAGTGGGTGAAGACAAGCCAAGAAAGGGAAGCTGGAAAGGAGGGCTGGGAGATACAACAGATGAGAGCAAGCGGATGTTGTTGAGCCAGGAAAGAAAACTGAACAGGCAGGGTGAGTAGGTAGACGGAAGTCAAAAGAAAAATATTTTAAGAATGAAATGATCAATAGAAGAGAAAACGAAGAATCCAAACATGTTGGAAGTTGAAAAAAAACACATTTTTTGAGTTGAACTACAGAAAAGCAGTGGAAAACTTGCTCAAAAATAATTTTGGCAGAGCAATGTTTGACTTGCATGTCCAAAGTATACTTGGAAGGGCTGGGGGGTGTAGTTCAATGGTATAGGGCTTTTCCTATCCTGGATTCAATCTCTAACACGGCAAAACAACAAAATTACACATAAGCGCGCATGCACACACACACACAAACAGGGTTGAGGTGTTTCATGATACATATTATATCACTGAGAGTACTTGAGAGATTCCAGAGTCTAAATCTCAAGTGTCTAAGTACCACCAACTATATTTTGAGTAATTAATAAAAACCAGGCTATCAAATGGGTATTAACACTATCTTTGAAGAGTTCAAAATAATTCAGAAAGAAACTATATAGACTTCAACATGGGTCCACTCCAGATCTCAGTTCCTACACCAGTATGTAAAACATAAGCTGAAGTAATTTTTTTTTTACATCAAGAAGGTCTCACAACCTTGTTAAACTAATTTATAGTCAGAACATTTCTTTTTCAGTCACATATTGTTTAAATCCTTGCTCTTAAAGATACTTTAAAAATGATCCTTATATCTTACCACACTGTGGTTGAGTCTTGTCTTACAGACCTGCTTCACAGATACAGACCACTGCAAAATGTGAAGACCACCACCCATGCCCAGTCAATCCATTTTCTCAACAACATTCATATGTAGGCCAGAAAACACCCCCACAAGAGATGAACGAGGAAGAGACAATGCCTGCTTCACATGTGACGGCAGTCTCATCAGATACAAATTACAGAAACACGGCCATAGGGACTGTAGGCTTATAGGGAATGGAGAAGGGGACATTACCAGAGACCTCTGCCGTGGATCCTGGTCTCCAATGAGGCAATACAACACGAAGCTAATAAGAATAAAGAAAGAAACAAGATTTGGAGAAAGATGGGTCTTGGGCCTGATCAGTGCTGCACTGGGCAGCAAAGACAAAGGTCCCCAAGGACATCCAGTGTTTACTGTCACAAGCATGGGAAGAAAGTGAGAGCAGGGTATGTTTTGAAGACATTTAGAAATATATGGTGTCAAACATCTGGCACGATGGCACCAAGCAGGGCTCTAAAGGAGGAGACACTGCTTATCTTGCTTGTATAGAACTAACAGGTACCGGGACCAGGTGCAATTAGCCAGCAACCCATCAAGTCAGTGAGAAGCCGTAATTCAGGGAAGGATTTTAATTGTGGTCATGCTGACCTCAGCTGCACATAACTCAGCAGAGCCCTGCCATTTCACAGATCAGGTCTTAGGTTTCTGTGGCAACCATTATTGGGGGAGGAGCTATACTTGCCCAGTCGGCCATCTGACATGACCATCTGAGTCACATAGGTCTTTGGTGTGACTCCTGATATAAAACAATATAGCCAAATTATGGAAAGCAAGAAGCCTGTGCCAGTTATAGCCTGCTAGTACCGGGCAGGGATGTCTGCTACATGTGGTAACCAAAATATATCTCAGTATCCCACTGAAACTGTTGATTCAGGAAAAAAATCAAGTGGTAATTCTGAAAAATATTACTAGTGATAAAAAAGGACTCCTTCAGTGACAAACGCTGGGCACCAACTAGAAGTCCCTACCCTCAAGGATCTAAAAATAAAACAAAAACACAAAAAGCCCCATAAACGTGTAATATAATGTGTTAATGTGTGTGTCCACATGTATGCATGCAATCTTATAATTCCAAATGAGTAGGAAAAAGAATAATGAAGAAAACAGAGAAAATACTAGTAAATAGAAAAAAGGCAAGTCAGCCAGGAAGGCTCTGAGGAGAAAGAGGACTTGAGTTCAGACTTAAAACATGCTAAGGTCTTACACAAATGGAAAGGCAAGGAAAGGAATATTAGTCACCATCATGGGTGAAAAGTATAAGGCCAGAATGTATGTGACAATTTTGAGAAAAATAAGAACAAATTGGCAGAGATGGAGAACTCTTGGGGGTGAGGAGTTGGCAGATAAGATGACCAAACTCAGGTCATGGAAAACTTTCAGGATCCAAGGTATATGAATTCTGTTCTCTGAATAACTACAAGTTTTTGAGCAACATGTCAGTGTTGTTTAGAAAACGACCATTTTATAGGGCTTGTACAATCGATCGAAAGGGAGAAGAGTATTTTTTAAAAAATCTCCTTACACAACACACCCTTACTACTCATGTCCTTTGCAGTCTGTGTCCTTGGCTAACAAATTATTTTAAACCTTGATGACATGCAAATATTGTAGTCAATCTACACAGACAATATGCCCACTCCTCATTTAGTACTTATCTCCTGACTTCAAAATCAATCTTGACAGTATTTATGCAAAATAAAGAGCTACTGTGACATTTCTAATAATATAACCAATTTGTTTTTGCAACTCTATACATACTGTATTTCATTTTGACTTTAACAACTTGGTGGGAAACGAATATAGTTTGGTCTGAATTTTTCGGCTGTTTTAAGGATTGGCAGGAGTGCAATGTAAAGAATGGATCATGGAAACAGAATAAGCTCATGCCCCAGATGTTTCAAATCCTCTGTAGAAGTGTGTATTTCACAGATTTGTCATGGTATGCTCTTTGAATCACACTGAGTTTTATTTTAAAGTATAATCTGTAGAGTTCATGAACTAAGAGACAGACTCTAGAAGTAGATTTATGTAAAAACAATAACAGGGCTGAAAATTTAGTCATAGAGTGTTGGCCTAGCATGTGTGAGACCCTGGATTCAATAAAAAAAAAGGGGGCGGGGTGTTGCAATTTAAAAGGCCTTTCAAGTTTGTTTTACTATGTAAAATTTTATTTTAAATTTTAGTTTATTAGTACATGTTTATAGTATATGTTTACATTCCTTGTGTGGAGTTGGTACTTGTACATAACACATTCTAATTCCTTTTTTTACATCCCTTATACCTCCCCCCCCCCCATTCTCAAAGGGGAAGGGGATCAAGTTTTAAAAGATACTTCCATTCTGAGCATCTGATTTTGCAAATAAGGAAACAATGTTACTAAATATGTAGAATGATATAACCCACGATGTTTTACACAAATTTATATACTCAGCCTGAAGACATGAATTGCTAGAGCTTTATAAATTTATTTTAATCAAAAGTATCTTCATCTTAGGAATCTGCAAGAACAAAAAGCTAGAAATTACTGTACTCTTGAAAATACACAGGAGCAACTACTCAAAGGGAGTCCTCAGTTGTCACATAGCTTGTGTAATTTGCACTCTGTGTAAGCACATTTTATACTAACTTATGACAGAGAGCACATGGGGCTGAATTATTTTAAATCTCTCTTAGCTTCCAGTTTATATGACAGGGCATGAGGGTGGGGTACTGCAGGAGAACAAGACTTTATGAAGTTCATTTCCTGGTGGACACTCTTGACATAAAACAATCTGAATCAAACAAGAAATGTCTTTCCTTCAACAAGCATACTTTTTCCTGAGAAGAGCAATGGCAAATATTTATTGGAACTTAGTATGAGGTAGACAGTACTCTAAACAATTTAAATGTATGCTCTCATTCAGTCCTCATATTACCTTATAAGGTAAGAAATACTCTCATTTTACAAGTTTAATCTCCGCTTTAAAGGACACTGAGGCAAAGAGTTTGGTGGAATGAGAGTATGTGGAAACTTTAATCACTGTTTACAACAGCAATCCCTGAAAACACTATTAAAAGATGCCAGACTGGAAAAAAAATAAAACATACCATAAAATCACAAGGGTCTTTAAAAGAAAAACTTCTGTCACCAATATGATCTCTAAAGCAAGGACTGATCTAAATATAAAAGCACTAAAACGAGAAAAACAAGATAGAAACCAAAACTCTAATACATTTTAAAAGGCTACATGTGTATCACTATTTGTTTTTAAGTCAGATGAAAAAGAAATGGAATAATCAGTACTTAACAGCAGTTAGTTAAGTCGGTCTTCAAAAACAATAAAAGCTGATGACAAAGTGGGTGGAGACTCAGTAGTAGCTGATATTTTAATAAACCTGAGCTGCTCAAAAACGGTCTATTTTTTTATACAGCCATATAAGCAAAATATAATTTACTGGAAAAACAAAAAGTGCTAAGCATATAAAGTAAGAGCTACATATAGTATAAAAAGAAATACCTTATAATGAAAATCGCAAGGCAGCTTCAAACTCAGAGAAAAATGTTGGTAAAGGAATTTATTTCCCCCTTTACTCTTTATTTTTTCATTATGAATTTTGAGAAAATATTTTTCATTGTACTGGAATAAGAAACAGTGCTTGGTGTTCAATTTGGTAAGCATTTGATTTTTTTTATTGCTCTTTTTTTCTTACAATATTTCCAAACAACTTAAAGGCACATAATTTAGGATCAAATAGTTTATAAGTGTGGGCAAATCTGATCCCAAAGGACATCAAAAAATTGTAAACTGCAAGCTGAACGTCAGAAATGAGATTTACACCAAGAAGGCTTGAAAGATAATTACAGATACTTCACAGAAGGGGAGGGGGAAATATATCAGGAAAGAGTAAGAAAAAACATGTTCTTTCTGTTCAGGGCTGTATGCTAAGGATTTGGTGCTGGCAAAGACAAGAGCTTTAGGGAGAGCGTTCTCTGGATTCCCCAGCTGAGCTCAAAATGGGTGTATATATATGGCCCAGGGGTGGAGATGGAATTCAACTGGAAAGGTCAAAATGGGCTATGAGCCCAAGATGCAAAATCCTCAAGGGTCACCTGCGAGAAAAACAACAGGGAAGAACCCAGAGAAGCAGCAGGCAAGCCCTTGGCGGCCTGAAGGAGGGGTCGCGCCTTGGCAGGTGTTCCAGGCCAAGGGCGCGGGAGGGCAGACCCCCTGGAAGAGACCTGCGCCTGGCTGCAGGCGCTGGGGGGGGGGCAGGGTCGAGAGGGAGCGGACTAGCCAGGGCCCGCGGAGACCCCAGGAGTGCAGGAGGACGCGCCAGAAGGCCAGGTGCACAGAGGCGGCAGGGCCGAGCGCTCAGGCTCCGCGGGCACGGCCTGAGGGCACTCCCCTCCAGAGCCCGCCCCTCCCGCAGACCCGAGGACCCCTCACCACCCCTCACACCTCGCGTGCCCGCGGCCTCCTCCTCTCCGGGAAACACGGCGATCCCCCTCCTCACCTGTAGCCCTCACCTGACGCACAGCGACCTGGGTGTACACAGAAGGCGTCGCAAACGCAATATTGCCGGAAGTCGTTCCCCGCCTCCCGGGAGTCCAACAAGCTCCTCCCTCGGCCGCGCTGATTGGCCGGCGCGGAGCCGCGAGGCGTGTTGCTACCCGGTCTCCTTGGCCTCCGTGCGAGCGTGCGCAGTAAGCGCGGGCGTGGGCGCCGCGAATAAGGGGCCTTGTGACCCGCCCCTCAGGAGTTGGGGACTGCTAAGTTTGCCAGCGCTTGGAGATCCCGTCTGCAGCCCTGTCAGCGACCCGGGTGGTGTCGCCTAACCCAGAGCCTGCTGTCCGCTGATCTTAAATTGTAGGGCTTTCTGGGAACGCCCTAGAGGAGCTGTGTCCGTGCGCGATGGGATGATTCACCAGCTCGGAACTGGGCGTGAGCACAAGCCTTCCACCGGAGGTGCGCCCCGGACAGACTTCCGGCCAGGCGGTCGCCCCCTAGCCGCGCGGGCAGGGTAGTTCCTACTCTGGGGGCGCCCTGAGCTTACAGGATTTGGCGTTTGCAAAATGTTTGGAACAGTCTGATGTTACGTACAGATGTTTATTATATGTATAAATGTTTAATTTTAGTATTTTCCCTTTTACGACGAGTGCTTTCATATTTGGAACACGGCAAGAAGATATTTGTATTTGGAAAAAAATTTTTGTAAATTATTTCTGATGTACTTATTTTAATAGTGCTTCTACATGCTTTTACTTTGTCGGTTTTAATTTTAATAAATAGATAATTTCATATTACATAGAGTGCGGTCCATTTACTATTGATAAAAATTTAGAAATAATTTTTTATAAAGTTGAGTATTTGGGAATTAATCCATTACAACGTGACTTCTGTAGGTAGAGTTCATATCCTTCACCCCTCATTCTTTGAGAAATTTAAAAAATACAGAAATGTACAAAAAATAGGAGAAGATATATACTACTGTCTCATGAAATACGAAATATTATATCTTCTAACCTGTTAACTGTATGATACACCAAGTTCTCTAGAAATCGAAGAATGAGTCCTAGGAACATCGGAGGCTAAAAGTAGGAAGATATTTATTGATAGGAATGCTTCTGAGGGGCAGGAGGAGTGCAAGTGGGTAGCCCAACTACCCTACTTTACAGAGAAGTTTTATAGGGTGAACCCACGTGGGTACAACGTGGGCCACAGCCATGAACACCCAGTAAATTTACCAGTACAGTCACTTAGGTAATGGTGGTCCAGTTGGGAAGCAAGTCGCGTAGCAAGCGTGGATGGAAAGAACAAGGAGTCTTCTAGGAGGTGGTGGGTCCAGCGGTATTTGGTCACCCCCAGGGCGGTCGATGCCTATCTGTACTTCACTAAGCCCAGTTCTTGGAAGATGTATGTGGGTCTGGACATCTTGTCTTCATCTCGTTTTTTTTTTGGTACCAGGGATCGAACTCAGGACCTTGCGCTTGCCAGGCAGGTGCCAGAACCACTGAGCTAAATCCCAGGCCCTTGTCTCCTTCTCGAGGCCTGGTTTTCAGCCAATGTGCAGCTGTTGTGTTTCACCTTTGTCCTGGCCCTCTGGAGGACTTAGCCCTCCCTATCTGACTGCCTATAGTATTTTTACCTAGCTCATCGATCTATAATACTACAATCCATAATAGCCAGTATCTTCATATACTTATTTGTAGTTTAAAAGAAATAGATATTTATATAAAAAGTTGAAGCCCCGCCCCATGTCCTGCACTCATTCTTTTCCCTTTCCAGTCTTCACTGGCCACCTCTAGCAAGAGTCTGGCTTCCAACATCTGGCTACTAAAATTCAAGACACTAAATTTCCTGGTACATTCTTCCTGAGCATACATACAAGTAGAACTACTTTTTTTTTTTTTTTGTACTGGGCATCGAACTTGAGACCTTGCACTTTCAAGGCAGGCGGCAGAACCACTGAGCTAAATCCCCAGCCCCACTACTATGTATCTTTGAATTTGTTAAAGGGAATAGTTTACCTACTCCCAAGGTGATAACCATTTTAGTATATAGGCTTTTCATATTTCTGTCATTAATCCCTGTGGATTTTACTTTTGTGCATAATTCATGGTCTATTCTTCCTTCTCAGAGAGCAAATTACCTCCAAATATTTTCTAAAAGCCTTATTATTTCCTTATCCCCTAATGGCATCTCTTTCATGTTTCAAATTGTTATCAATGCTTAGGTCTCTATCTGGACTCTTCTGCTCTGCTGAGTCACTGTTACAAACACTTCTTATTTGTAGATGACCATATACAGATATTCCTCGTTTAATGAGTTACTTATTTAACGACTGTTAAGTTACCACCAGGCACTTTGTTTGGACTTACTACCTGCCACTTGGACTTACGACCTGTGTTCTTTTGTTTTTTGGTACAGTTCTGTACATCTCGTTTATAGAGCCTGTTTTTTTTGTACAGTACACCTTGTTTATACAGTCCTGTAATTTTTACTGATTGTACTGTACTGTATGTAGTTTTGTGTTCTGTTATACATTCCAGTACTGTGTGTAAGAGTTATGCAAATAAAAGCAAAGTCATCAAGTTGGAGCTTTCCTTTGACCATTTCTTTGTTCTCAATAGTATAATGTACATACTATATATGATTCTTCATTTAACCAATTAATGACTTAGTCATAGGACTGCAACTCTGTCCTTAACAGGAATTTCTGCATCTGCTTTTGTCTCTTTCTAATACTTACACCTTATTTTTCTTACTATACTGATGAAGATCTTCAGACTTATGCTGAGAGCGGTAACAGGCCTCTATTTTCTATTTCCAAATTTAGGGAACTGCATCTGAAGTATAGCATTACCTTTGTTTTGTTGTGGGGGGGCACGGTCGTTTCATCATCCCAACATCTCTGTCTTCAATATGCATGTTGGTGTCCTGTAAGTTTTTAAGTATTTGTTGTAGTTCATCTCACTGGCGGTGCTTTGCTTCAAAATAACTATTCTGATGCACTCTGAAATGCAAATTCGAGGTGTATTATTTTTTCACTAGAAGATTTTTTAATGAATAAGAATTTTCTGGTGTGTGATGCGGTGTGACTTCTGAAAAGGCTGAAAGCTTTCACACATTTTCTACACTGATAAGGTTTCTTACCTGTGTGTATTCTCAAATGCAGAGTTAGAGCTGAGAATTGGGAGAAAGCTTTCCCACAATGCTCACAATCATAGGGCTTCCCACCTGTTGGCTTCTTACACGGGCAGTGAGAGATGAATGCCGAGAGAAGGCTCTTCCACATACTTTGCATTCATAAGGCTTATCACCTGAATGAATCCTCACAAGCACAGTGAGAGATGAACTTTGAGAGAAGGCTTTTCTACGCTCATTAAATTCATAGTTTTTTTTCTTCTATGTGCATGTTTGGATGCTTTATAAGGTACTTCTGGACAAACGCTGTTTCACATTCATTACGTTTAAAGGGTTTCTCTCTCCAGTATGAATTTTCTCATGCTTAACAATATTTGATTTGCCAATAAAGATTTTCCCACACTCCTTACTTACATATGAGGGGCTTCTCTCCCATGTAAGTTCTCTGGTGTCTGATGAGATTTGACTTCTGAATGAAAACTTTCCCATATTCTTTGCACTCAAAAGGTCTCTCTCCATTTGAATTTTCTGAAGAATAAGGAAGTTTTCTTTCTGGCTAAAAGATTTTCCACAATCATTACATTCAAAAAGCTTCTCTTCAGTATGGGTGTTCTGATGTTTAATGACAAGCTGCTTTTGGGCAAAGGCTTTCCCACATGTGTCACATTCAAAAGTCTCTCTGGCAGGAAAATACTAGGTAAAACCATTGAGATGAAAGCAGATTTCTCAACACAAACTTTAAAGGCTAGTAGAGACTACGGTGAAGTATATAAAAGCAAACAACTTACAACCTAGACTACTATATCCTGCAAAACTTTCTTTCAAAATAGATGGAGAAATAAGGACATCCTATGACAGAGAACAGCTTTACATGCATACCAAACCATCACTCCAAAAAGTATTCAAGAATATCCTAGACAGAGATAACAAAGCTAAAAATTCAGATGGAATGTATACATTAAATAAGTCAAATAGTTCCATGAAAATAGGAAAAATAAAGGAGTCATCAACAGAAAAAATGGAATAAATCAATTCCTGTAAGAAATAACTCAATATAAATGGCCTCAACTCCCCAGTTAAAAGACACAGATTTGCAGAATGGATCAAAAAGCAGAATTCAAGAGTCTGTTGCATTTAAGAAGCTCATTTAATCCAAAAAGAAATCCAGAGACTAAAAATCAAGGAATGAAAATAATATTTCATGTACCAGGGCTCTGAAAGCAAGCAGGGGTTGCAACGTTACCCTCAAAATAAACTTCAAGCTAAAACTAATCAGAAGAGGCAAAGAAGGTCACTACATACTAGTTAAGAGAATAATTTAACAGGAAGAGATAACACTTGTAAATATATATGTACCAAATATTGAAGCACTTAACTGCATAAAATAAATACTGCTGGACATAAAAATGAAATAAACACCAGCACAGTCATAGTAGGTGACCTCAAAGCCTCACTTTCACATAAAACAACTAAACAAAAAATCAACAAAGAAATATCAGAGTGGAACCACACCTTTGAACAAATGGATTTAATAGATACTACGGAGTGTTCTACCCTACTATAAAAGAATGTACATTTAACTCAGCAGCATGGAACCTTCTCCAAAATAGGTCATATACTAGTCCACACAGCTCACTTAGATACATACAAAAGAACTGAATTCACCCAATGTATACTATCAGACCATCATGCATTGAAACTAAAAGTCATATAATAAACCGCAGAAAATTTACACATACATGGAGAGTTAATAAAACACTCCTAAGTAATCAATGGGTCATTGAAGAAATCAAGGAAGAAATTAAACAACTTCTAGAATCAAACAACAATACCAGAACAACATACCAAAACCTATGGACACAATGAAAGCGGTCCTATGAGGGAAGCTTATTGCAGTCAATGCTCATATTATAAAAAAAAAAGAGTGAGCTCAAATAAATAACTTAATTATGAACATCAAGATACTCTAAAAATAACAACAATCCAAACTCAAACCTAGTTTAATGAAGGAAATCATAAAGATCAAAGCAGAAATTAATGAAATTGAGACTAAAAAATGGTACAAAGAATCGATAATTGAGCTGGTTCTCTGAAAGAATAAACAAAATAAACTATTAGATAAATAAACAGACAAAAGACTCACATTGATCTTGTTAGAAATGAAATGAACACTACTGAAATCAAGAAGATAGTAACTACTACACATAAAAAATCGTGCTCCCAACAAATTGGAAAATCTTGAAGAAATGGGCAGATGCCTAGCTCTGGCCAGAGTCTCTCATCATGTAGAGTGTAAGGCATTACAGCTCTACTTTTTCAGCCAGCATCTCTGAAGATTTCCAGACTCTTCCCACAAGCCAGACCCAGAGGCTTCTGAACCACATGATCAGGTATAGTCACAGCAATGTCCCCACTTCCCTGGTACCAAATTCTGTCAGAACCAATATTGTCAAAATGGCTATACCTCCAAAATCGATATACAGATTTAACACAATCCCAATCAAAATACCTATAGCATTCCTCATAAAACTAGAAAAAAAAATCTTCAAATTCATGTGGAATCAGAAGAGACCAAGAATAGCAAAAGTAACCCTGGGCAACAACAGCAATGTGGAGACATCAAAATCCTAGACTTGAAGTTATATTACAAAGCTACAGTGGTTAAAAACACCGTGTTATTGGCAAAACAAAACCAAACAAAAGCAGACATGTGGCTCAATGGAATGGAATGAAAGATGTAGAAACAACTCCAGACACATTCAGGTACCTGATCTTTGACAAAGTAGCCAACAAATACAGTGGAGGAAAGACAGCCTCTTTAGCAAATGGTGCTGGAAACTAGACCTTATCTCTCACTGTGTACTAAACTAAAATAAACATGGATCAAATATCTAAATATTAAAATAGAAACTACTAGAAGTCAAAATAGGTAAAACTCTGGAAGTCATAGCTGTAGGCGAGGTCTTTCTGAACAGAACCCCAATCACACAAGAAATAATACCAAGTGTCAACCAATGGGACCATATCAAAGCTTCTGCACAGCAAAGGAAATAACAGAGTAAAGAGACAGCTTGCAGAACGGGACAAAAATTTTGCCAGCTACACCTCAGACAGAGGACTAATATCTAGAATATATGAAGAACTAAATAGAGACCCAAGATGAAAGACCCAATCAAAAAATGGGCAACTGAAATTAACAGACATCTCTCAAAATACGAAATACAAATGTCCAGTAAATACATAAGAAATTGTTCAGCTGGCCATTACAGAAATGCAAATTAAAACAACTCTGAGATTTCATCTTACTCCAGAAAGAATGTCAATCATTAAGAAATTCAATAACAAATGCTGGTGAGGATGTGGTGAAAAATGAATCCTCCTACATTGTTGGTGGCCATGTAAACTAGTATAACGACTATGGAAATCAGTGTTGAGATTTCTCAAAAAACTAAAAAGAGAAATTCCATTTGACCCAGATATTCCCCTTCTAAATATCTTCTCAAGAGAGTTAAATACATCGTATTACAGCTCTCATCCTCATCTCCTCCCCATTCTCCCCCTTCTTTCCAGTTTTAGAGTTCCTCCCCCATTTTAATTTTTTAGTACATGTTTGAAATACAAAATAATTACATTTACTGTGCTAGCTGGTACAAATACATGAACATCTTAAATCTATGTCCCCTTTCCCTGCTCCCACCCCCTTCAATCTCTTGGCCCCCTTCCCATTTCCGAAAGATCTGTCTCCCTAGTGCCTTTTGTCGATCTTTTATTTTGCTTTTTTATTTATTTGTACTTTGAGTTTCTCATATGGTATTTAAATTTGTGTCTAACTTATTTTATTTAACTATCTTTTCAAGATGCGTCCATTTTCCTGCAAACGTCTCAAATTTATCCTTCATTATAGTCTAGTAGTTCCATTATGTATTAATACACCTTTATTCATCTGTTTATGGACATACGGACTGCTTGGCTGTTAGATTTGATATAGATTTGGCTGTTATGAATCTTGCTTCTATAAACATTGGGACACTCTGGACCGTGACCACACCAGGCACAGGAAATCATTTTGTTGTGTGCCCTCCTCTGGAACAAAAAGTGCAATATGTCTAGTGGGATATTTACGCAACGTGTGGAACGCACCTCATTCCATACAGTAACAATGTTGTGGTAAGAAGTAAACTAGGGCTGGGAATGTAGCTCAGCAGTGAGCACTTACTTAGCATGTGTGAGGCCCTGGGTTTGAACCACAAATGACAGAATATTTATATCTTAGCCCAGCCCTGCTCTAAAAAACAAAACAAAACAACCTCCCAAAAACCTCGGTTCTCCACGAAGACTGAAAGCTCTCTGAAGGTAGGGGGAAAAAGTTGTATTTTTTTGTTTGAGCCCTGAAAGTCTAACTCTAAATGTAGGGAGAGAGATACTGTAGACAGCTGCCAATCCCAGCTGGGAGCGCTTGGTCCAAACAGGACCACCTACTACCATTCCTGACATGCTGGGAACAAGTCCAGACTTCCAAGTCACATCAGATACAGTATCGAAGTTCGTGTGTGGTATTTATGATTATTTCGAGGGTGAATGCTTATCTTGTTTTAACATTGCTTTATTGCTTTATGTGAGAGCCAAGCAGTGAAATAAATGGGCAGCAGATTGTTAAGAACAAGCGACATTGGGCACAGTACCTCAGCCTCATGGAAGATAAGGTCCACACCTTTATGACGCACATATATTATGTACAGAAACCAAGGGCCTAGGCCTGCCTGAAGTTCTGACTCCAAATATGGCCTTCTCTCTCTCACAGAATAGCTGGGCTCTCTCGATAGTCCCGGAGCCTGGGAAGAAGGTACCCCAGAGCTCTCTACTTGCCCACCAATGTGTGACCACACAGGCTGGGCTCTGAGACTGTGGCATAAACCATAGTGTCACACACAGTAGGACTTCAGAGGCTGGGTTGGCCTGGGCTTACTTCTGACTGGTTACCTTAGGACCTCTACTCTCTAGCCCATGGTGACTGTGTACTGCTTCCTGGGGTTGACTGACCATGTCCTCTTGGGAGGACATAAAGTCCTTGCCTCTGGGGTAATGAACACATCAATTGAGGGAAACCTTTAGAGGAGGGCATGGGGAGCCAGCAGAGCAGGAGACCTGGAGGGATGTGAAACCAACAGGGAGCTGTGGAGAATCACTGACCACTTAGGCAAAGTGTGCATGAGAATGTCATGGGATCATATTGGTAAACTGGCCATCCATCCATTGGTGGGCTTGAAGAGTTGACAGAGGGGACTTGAGAGTGTTCTCTTGGAGGGCAAAAGGCTATACAGCATTGTGGACTTCTGAAAAATTGTTGCAGCATGTGACTGCAGGTGGCATGGAGGATAAGAAAATTGCTTGGAGACAAACCTTAGTTCAATCTACCCGGAGGCCCAGAGGGAATATTTCTCAACCAAGAGCACTCAGTCATTAGGGAGACTCTGGGAGAAGAAAAAAGCCACTAAGCCATGAAGTCTCTGGCTTTTATTTAGAATATCAGTGTAAGAGAAAAAAAAAAAAAAGGAAAAAAGCAATTTAGGCCAGGAGCTGTCTCAAGGCTATGCAGTTTTTCTTGGGGAAAGTAGAAGGACAAATGGCCAGATACATCATGCTTTACTTAACCTAAGCTTTTTGTTATTTAACCACTCAATTTTCACACAGCCTTGCATGCTTTTGACCCATATTAACCATCCACTCCTCACAGAGACTGTGTGCCCTTTGGCAACAGTTTAATTATTTGTGTGCTTTTGTCTCATACTTTAACCATTCAGTCCTCATAAAGCTTCTGTCCCACAGTTTAATCATTCACTCCTGGCCAGATCTCCAACAACAAAATCTTGGCTGTTTCAGTCCATTCAGGTTGCAGACAGGGTAGCTTATTACCAGCAGACCCTCACTGCATGCAGTGCTAGAGGCTAGTAGTCCCGGGCACCAGCAGATCTGGTGTCTGATGAAGGTAACTTCCTGGTACACAGACAGTACCTTCTGCTGTGTCACCATGAGGAGGGGCGAGGAGCTCTCTGGGGTCTGGATCTGTTTTGTAAGGGCAGTTATCACACTCACAAGACTCTACCTCCATGTCCAAGTCACCTCCCAAAGGTCCCATCACCTAACATCGTCACTCTGGGATTAGGATTGGAGACACAAATTCCACGGTGATGGCCCAGATGACCAGCTGGCTTGTGTCCAGTGGTGTGCTGGTAAGCAGACTCTGCAGGAGAAGGTCAGCAGTGTAAGTGGCCCTTGTTTGTAGTATTTGCTAATTCCCATGGTGTGTGTTCTTCAGCTATGACCCATTTTTAGCTGCTCAGGTGAAATTACTGAGTGGGGAGCCAGGGGGGTACCTTCAGTTGACCTCACCAGGGATGGTAAAGACCCCAGATCACCACCTGTGCCCGCTGTAAACTGTGGAAGCTACTAGTGTCTTCCATGTTTTTGTGAGATCTTATTCTAACACATCTTGATAAATGTAGGAAGCTGTCTGGTGAGGGTCACTGATTGTACAGTTGATGACACCCTGCCCCAGAGCCTGTCATGAGGGCTGCAGTTAAGAACTTGGTGAATTAAAGACAGCAGATTTGCATGCTGAACAGCATGGGTTATTCCAAACAATTTTGTCAGCAGAAGTTTATTGCTTTTTTGATGGAAAATTTAGAGTCAATAGGAAGACAGTATTTTAATGCACCTAGGTTGTAGTAAATCATTATGGTAATGTGTGATATAATTTTGGAAAATTAACTCTGGTTTGGATATGAGCAATAAAATGATAACATGATTAATAGTGACATGAACCATCCTTTCAATAACTTCTGAGAGAAAAAGCAAAAGCAAATTGAACTATTAGGAGCCCTTACCCTAAAGGCTAAGTCAGAGAGAAAGTGGAGGGAATAGGTGAAAATGTCAACACAATTCTAGTTGTTTAAAGAAAAAATGCAAAGGACACACAGAAAAGATAAAATTAGAATGCAGAAATTTCACTTTTATGTTCAGATGCAAATATCATCTCTTTCTGAGAGCTGAAGAAGCGCGGTAGAAAAGGTGGATTGAGGTTGATGAGCCTGGATCCTCAGAGCCAAGTTGGCCAAGCCCACAGTGGACTGCAAATAAATCTGTACCAGGCCCGAAGTTACTTTACTGTGTTCAGAACCCAGCTCCAGCGGCAACCACATTCTGTGAACCTGGTTTTCAGTAAACCAGAGGCACTTCTCACCCTAGTGGCTACTTCCTCTTTTCTCTTCAATCCACAGAGTCCACTTTCCAGGTGGATTGATCACCTCCATGCATTTGTGAATAAGAATGGCAGAAAGTCAACAGTTTTGTCTCACGGTTTCTATAATCATTTAGTTTTATTCCAATATAAAACCCAGGGCAATCAATACAAGTCACATGAGTACAGTATTGTGAAGGCCTAATGTTTAGGACCAGGTAAAGAAAAATGGGCAGCAGCTGGTGATTCTATGTTGAAAACTTTCTTCCTGGGAGAACTTCTCTACCACGTCCCAGTGAAGTGAAATGAAGACAGGCAAGTGCCAAGCTAACGGACATCCTTAGAATTGACCCAAAGTCAGCTACATGTTTTATAGATATACCAGGAAATCTCTGAGGCATAGCAGTCCACAGAAGGAGACTGAGGAAGCTGACTCATACTCCGAGATCCAAGAAGCTAATTAGGCACAGTTCAGTTGAGCAGCTTCTAGGAGATGTTATAGTTAACTGCAGCCCCACGAAGGTGTTAAAGGAGATATTCTTGGTTTGTGTGACTAATGATGAGAGCAATGATCTGAAATTGCTAAAAAGAAAAGCCTTGAAAAACAAGGAAAGTCATAGTTTCCTTGGGTGGTACCGAAGCATCGTTTCACCCCAGTTCTGGCACATAACTGTGTAGCCCTTTCCACCCTGTGTACATAGCTGCTTGTCTCTGTGAGGTACACTGGAAGCAATCTACACATTTAACTATTATCAGAGTCCCTGAAAAAAACCACCGTAAGTATTTATTTGTAAATGGTAGTATCTCACTTATTTCATGGCAAATTTACACTAAAGAGTTTTATTGCTTACAAGATATATGAGTTAGAAATAGGCTTTGTTGTCTGTCCTAGAAAATTCAAAATAAAAATAGCTTAATCTAGATAAAAATTTATTTCTCTTTCAGAAAGAAAAAGTCTAGAAAATGAAATTGGGAGGCAGGCAGCTGCAAAGCATAGCAGCTCCATAAACTCATCAAGTCCCAGATTTCTGACATAAGTGGTTTCTATCCTTAGAGTCAGCTCAGGCCCGTAATAGCTTTTGGAGCTCCAGCCATTATATCCAAATTGCAGGTGATGGGAAGAAAAGAGAGTAGAGTGTATTTTCTCTCTCTTGAGAATCCCTAAAAGTCTCACACTACACTTCTACTTATGTCTCAATCGTGCCTACATGTAGCTGTGGAATAGAAGAAGAACTGAAGCAAACAAATGCAGCTAAGAGGTTGGTGGGCACCATGAAGTGTGCCAGCAGATACACAATAAGAGTACCTGGAGAGGGGAGTGAGCAGGGAAGGTTCACTACTGAAGAACAACCATCTAGATGTCCAACCCTCGAAGGAAAGCAATAATCTGCATATCCAAGAAGCTCAACACATCCAAGTTTTATCCTTAGGTGGGGTAAACTCAGAGAGATTGACACCTAGACACATCATGGTCAAGCTGTTAAAAGCTGAAACACAGACTCTGGAGCTATGGGGAGAAGGTGGAAGAGGGACCTTGGTAAGGCTGGCTTTTGGCTTTGTATCAGAAGCCTGGACGTGCTGACAGTGAGGGGCTGGAACTCTGCATCCAGTGCATCACTTTCCGGAAAGGAAGAAGTGAGGACTTTCACAACTAGAAAATTTGCCCTCAGGAAACACTAGGAAGCCCCTCATGCAGTACAGAAGAACGCTGGATTGTATTTCCAGGACATCCGAAGAACGGGGGCATATAACAGTAAGCAACACAGGGAGCACAGTAGACAGTACCAATGTACTTTTTGGTTATAACTTCTTTGTCCAGTTCTCAAAGAGAACTGTCCCAACATGTGATAGGCTCATTCCTTAAGGACAAGGAGAATAATAATAATAATAATAATAATAATAATAATAATATGGTAGTTGCTGCCTGCTGAGTGCACACTGTGTTCTCAGGCTACCCAAAGCTATTCATTTGTACTATTAGTTATTGAGTGGAGCTTCCCCTGGGCCATGTGAAAGTAGGTTTATCTGTCCAGGTATTAACAGTTTAGCTATGGGATGTCTTCAGTTTCTTACTTTTACTCCCTCATTTTTATCAAATTTATCCATACTACTTCATGTTTAGGGAACTTGTTTAAGGAAAGCAAGAACACAAAATTGATGTTGCTCAGGCTGCTGATGTTTAATCTTCTTTGTTTAAGTTTGTTCTCTAAACTTCCAGAGGGAATGTGCAGAGCAATAAAGACTTAACTTAGGGCCTCCTAGAGGCTGCCTTAATAGGGGCAGACGATCAGTAAAATGTGCATGTCTCTGCACAAACTCTGAGCATTGTCAGAGGATTTACCTTTGATGATATTAAAAGGCAGAGAAATGTGGGGACCAAATAAAGGTTTTATTCAGTTAAACTCCAGTGGACATTTCTGAGTGCTAGGAGCGAACTTGTGCATCTTCTAGCCCTACCCACTTGCTGAGGGAAGGTTTCTCTTCTGAATTGCCAGGTTAACCAGTGTCACACCCTCTTGTGCTTGGAGGATATTTGTTGACCAAAAGTTCAAAGCTCATGGACAGAAAAGCTAGTGGACTACATGGCCGGAGAACTCAGCCAAGGTGCTCCAAGGACAGGACAAAGTCCACAGACACAGCTGAGTTTCTGGGTGTGGATTTCACTTCCTCTTGGTAACTTGTTCCTGGCAGGTAAGCAAGAGGAATCAGACATTTACCCTTCTGCTTTCCATCTCAACTCTAAAATTCCTGCTTCCTTTTGAGGTAACGTAGATGCTCTATATGATTAGTTGGTACAAAAATCATATGGAAGGGAGCAGAAAGATTAGTATTTCAGGCTATTATCTTTCCCTACCAGGAAAAGAAAACTGCAAGGATAGAAAATATTGTGCTACTGCTGGGGATCTTCCCCAAAGAATTAAAAGAATCATACCACAGTGATAATATGTGCACCTCTGTTCATAGCAGCACTGTTTGTGATAGCTAAAGCTTGGAAACAGACCAAATGCCCAACAACTGGAGAGTGGATGAAGAAAATGTGGTTTTTTAATAAAATGGAGTACTACTC